CAGTCAAAAAATGGGTAGATCTCCATACTTGCCCTCCAGAATCTTCAAAGTTTCTTAACTGGGCTCAGTCATGTATTCAGCCCAGATGCTCTCAATAACACCCTGCTTTCTTAAGTCTGCATCCTTGGAGCCAGCTCCCACTGTGTAAATGGTGGGCGGAGATATATTCCAAAAAACAGGGGAGGGGTGAGAAGCCTCAAATTGCCTGGGTCCAGCTTGTGGGTCAACCAGAGGAAGTAATTTCCTCTTGAAGACTTCATCCAACAGAAGATGAAACAGAGAGGTTAAGTAACTTGCTTGAGGTCACACAGTTGGCTAGTGGAGGCTCTAGAATTCAAATTTAGGCACTAAGGCTAGCAGAGATAAAGATGACAGTCACAATGTCATGCATTACAGTCTCTCCTGATGAGAAATCTTCTAGAGAAATTGTGTAATACCAGGACTAAGCTTCTCATCCCTGGCTACTCATCAGATATCTTAGAGATTTTAAAAATGTCCAATACCTTCTAGAGAGGGAATTGAAGCAAAAAGTAAATATTTGAATTAAAGATATTTCTCTGCACTTTTGCATGCTGTGTTTATCTACCAAGGACAGTTTATTGATGATGTACCACTATGTTGGGACTGCAGTAGTGTTCAAGGCTGATCACGTTCTGACCTCAAGGAGCTTCTGTAACTGCAGACCATATGTACACAGAATTACACAAATTACTCAGAAGTCTAGGTTGTTATGTCAGTGTTTAATAGAAGGATCTAATGGCGTCTGAAAATCAGAGAAAGCTTCCTGGAGGAAGTGACATTCGGGCTGCCACTTGGAAAGATGCGTTATTCTTTATCATATGTTGATTAAAGTAACATAATTCCATGAATACAAAGTCTCTTTTAGGGAAATGCAAAAGAAAGTTCAAATTACCGTACAGCTGCACTCATCTCACATGCTAGCAAAGTAATGCTCAAAATTCTCCAAGCCAGGCTTCAACAGTATGTGAACTATGAACTTCCAAATGTTTAAGTTGGATTTAGAAAAGGCAGAGGAACCAGAGATCAAATTGCCAACATCTGTTGGATCATCAAAAAAGCAAGACAGTTCCAGAAAAACATCTACTTCGGCTTTATTGACACCTAAGCCTTTGACTGTGTGGATCACAACAAACTGTGGAAANGCTATGGTTTTTCCAGTAGTCAGGTATGGATGTGAGAGTTGGATGGTGAAGAAAGCTGAGCGCCGAAGAATTGATGGTTTTGAACTGTGGTGTTGGAGAAGACTCTGGAGAGTTCCTTGAACTGCAAGGAGATGCAACCAGTCCATCCTAAAGGAGATCAGTCCTGAATATTCATTGGAAGGACTGATGCTGAAGCTGAAATTCCAATACTTTGGCCACCTCATGTGAAGACTTGACTCATTGGATAAGACCCTAATGCTGGGAAGGACTGGGGGCAGGAGAAGGAGACGACAGAGGATAAGATGGCTGGATGGCATCACTGACTTGATGGACATGGGTTTGGGTAGACTCCAGCAGTTGGTGATGGACAGGGAGGACTGGCGTGCTACAACTCATGGGGTCACAAACAGTCAGACATGACTGAGCGACTGAACTAACTGACTGAACTGACATCATGAGAAATGCCAGACTGGATGAAGCACAAGCTGGAATCCAGACTGCTGGGAGAAATATCAATAACTTCAGATATGCAGATGACACCACCCTAATGTCAGACAGTGAAGAAGAACTAAAGAGCCTATTGATGAAAGTGAAAGAGGAGACTGAAAAAGTTGGCTTAAAACTCAACATTCAGAAAACTAAAATCATGGCATCCAGTTCATGGCAAATAGATGGGGAAATAATGGAAACAGTGACAGACATTTTATTTGGAGCTCCAAAATCACTGCAGATGGTGATAGCAGCCATGCAATTAAAAGGCACTTATTCCTAGGAAGAAAAGCTATGACCAACCTAGACAGCATTATAAAAAACAGAGACATTACTATGCCCACAAAGGTCTGTCTAGTCAAAGCTATGATTTTTCCAGTAGTCATGTATGGATGTAAGAGTTGGACTATAAAGAAGGCTGAATGACAAAGAATTGATGCTCTTGAACTGTGGTGTTGGAGGAGACTCTTGAGAGTCCCTGGGACAGCAAGGCGATCCAACCAGTCCATCCTAAAGGAAATCAGTCCTGAATATTCATTGGAAAGACTAATGCTGAAGCTGAAACTCCAATACATTGGCCACCTGATGTGAAGAACTGACTATTTGCAAAGACCCTGATGCTGGTAAAGATTGAAGGTGGGAGGAAAAGAGGATGACAGAGGATGAGATGGTTGAACGGCATCACTGACTCCACGGCCATGAGTTTGAGTAAGCTCCAGGAGTCGGTGATGGATAGGGAAGTCTGCCATGTTTCAGTCCATGGGGTCTCAGAGTTGGATATGACTGAGCGACTCAACTGAACTGAAAATAAATATGTTCAAAGTCAAGCTGGATGTGCTAATGTATACTTTGGGCTAAAAGTTAATAATAATTGTTAGAATCAAAATAAGTATTATAGTGTAAGGCATATTTAGAATTTTCCCTGTCTCTGCCTCTGTTCACTCTTATCCAAATGAGAATATGTGAATGTCACCCATCTACTTCTTGAAGTGGAGGACAAAGTTTCCAGTTAGTGGAATTTTGTTAGCATTGTTTTCAGGAAGATGCTGGAAAATTATCCATGTTCCTGTAAACACTGTGTCCACCATCACCCTCATTTAGCCCCCTGAATGAGCTTCTAGCTTCTAATTGGTCTTCTTAACACTGATTTTCTTCCCTAGTGAATCCATTCACCAGGTACTACTGGAGTAAGCTCCCTGAAAAGCAAATCTGATGGTGACACATCTGATGATGCTACTGTTTCTTAAACCATAACACAGCCAATAACCCCACTACTTGGTATATACCCTGAGGAAACCAAAACAGAATGAGACACATGTACCCCAGTGTTCATCACAGCACTATTTACAATAGCTAGGACATAGGAGGAACCTAGATGTCCATCAACAGATGAATGGATGAAGAAATTGTGGTACATATATATAATGGAATGTTACTCAGCTGTAAAAAGCAATACATTTGACTTGGTTCTAATGAGATGGATGAACCTAGAACCTGTTTTACAGAGTGAAGTAAGAAAGAGAAAGACAAATATCATATATTAATTAAGGCAAATATATGAAATCTAGAAAGATGGTACTGACGAACCTAACTGCAGGGCAGCAATGGAAACAGATATAGAGAACAGACTTATGAACACAGGAGGAGAAGGAGAGGGTGGGATGAACTGAGAAAGTAGCACTGAAATATTTACATTACCATATGTAAAATAGATAGTCAGTAGAAATTTGCTCTGTGATGCAGGGAGCTCAAATTAGGTACTCTGTGCCAACCTAGAAGGGTGGGATGGGGTGGGAGGGAGGTTCAAGAGGGAGTGGACATGTGTACACCTATGGCTGATTCATGTTGATGAATGGCAGAAACCAACACAATATTGTAAAGCAATTGTCATCCAATTAAAAATATTTTTTAAAGTGTAAGAAAAAAACCACACACACACACAAGCCCTTCATGATCAGCCTCTTTCCTCGACCTTGTCTTTGCAGTCAACTCAAAACACCCTTGAGCTGCAGATACTGTGAACAGTTTCTAGAGAAGACCACACTCTCTCACACTCCTGTGCCTTCACATTTACTGTCTCATCTACCTAAAGTAGTTTCTCAGCCTTCAACCTCTACCATGCTAACCCTTACTTATTCTTAAATATTCAGGTCTACCTTCAGCTTCTTCAGGAAATCATTTCTTATTGTCCCGGTCTCAGCAAGATTTCTGTCCTACACATTCTCATTGCACCTGGCATGTCTCTCTCATAGACTTATCTAACACCATCAAATTGATGCCACTAGCCATGTGTGGATATTTAAATTTACAATGTAAACTGTCATTGCTACTGTGGGAAACAGTATGGTGGTTCCTCAAGAAATTAAAAATAGAGCTACCATATGATCCAGCAATCCCACTTCTGGGTTCATATCTCAAGGATACAAAGTTATTACCTCAAAGAGAAAGCTGTACTTCCAGGTCATTGCAGCATCACTCACAACAGTCAAGATTTGGAAACAATCTAAGTGTTATTCAAAAGATGAATTATATATTTGATACATATGAATATTGTTCAGCCTTATAAAAGAAGAAAATCTTGTCATTTTCAACAACATGAATGAACCATATGAATGGACATTATAAATAAGTGACATAAGTCAGACCGAGAAAGACAAACATAGTATCTCTTATATGTGAAATCTTAAAAAAAAAAAAAAGAAAGTCAAATTCAAAGAAACAGAGAGTAGAAAAGTAATTGCCAGGGACAGGGGTTTGGGGAAAAAATAGAGAAGATGGTAAAACATTACAAACATTCAGTTATATGATGATTAATGTCTGAGGGTCTAATGTATAACTTGGTGACTATAGTTGATAATCCTGTGTGTATAACTAAAATTTGCTAAGAGAGTAGAACATCAATATTCTCATAAAAAAAAATAAAGTATGTGAGGTGATGTGGTAATTAACTCAATGGGTTGAATCCTTTCACCATATATATATATACACACACATATATATACACACATAGATACACACACACCCACACATATGTCAAATCATCACATTCTACACTTTAAATGTCTTACAGTTTTATTTTTCAATTATACTGGGTTGGCCAAAAAGTTCCATCAGGTTTGTAACATCTTACAGAAAAACCTAGAGGGACTTTTTGGCCAACTCAATAACTCAGTAAAGCTGAAAAATAAATTTACAATAATTAAAGTTAAATAAAAATTCATTTTCTCAGTCACACTAGAGTCACTTTAAATACTTAATAGCATGGGTGATTAGGGGTCACCATGCTGAACATCACCATTGCGAAACCTTTTCACAATTACAGAAAATCACACTGGACAATGCTGTTACCTTACTCTTTGATTTTGAACATCTTGGGGTCATATGTTCCACAGTGCTTTGAGCAATGCTCAATAGATTGGTTTGCAGGGAAAAAAAAATAGTGAATGTTATGATCTGAGTTTCATATCTGTTCTGTTCTTTCAGATAAGCAATCAAAATATAGTTTTTAATATAACAAAACACATTTTGAACAAAGGGGCCTCCAAAGAGGGAGGAGGAAAAGAAGGGCAGTGCTCCTGGTCTGTCTCTTGTCTTAAGCTCTGGGAAGGGTCAGACTTCCATCGTGTCCCACTGATAGGAAGGAAGGCAAATATAAGTTTAGAGTCTCATTCTGGGAAACTGTACGTTTGACAATTTTTTCTGGGTTGAGTGTGAAAAATGATAGCAGGTATAAATATTGCTCACAGAAACAGGCCATATCGTTTCTCTAGCAAATAAAGTCCACTAGACCATGTCACTTTTGATTTTTAGACAATATTAGTGGTAGCTTTAATGTTTAGTTTTAATTGCTATAGGGAGTGAATTTCAGCTTAAAGTGGTAAGAGGAGATATTAGGGTGATTTAAGTCATGCTTGATCCTTGGAAGAAAAATTATGACCAACCTGGCCAGCATATTAAAAAGCAGACACATTACTTTGCCAACCAAGGTCCATCTAGTCAAAGCTATGGTTTTTCCAGTAGTCATGTATGGATGTGAGAGTTGGACTATAAAGAAAGCTGAGCGCCAAAAAGTTGATGCTTTTGAACTGTGGTGTTGGAGAAGATTCTTGAGAGTCCCTGGGACAGCAAGAGGATCCAACCAGTCCATCCTAAAGGAGATCAGTCCTGAATATTCATTGGAAGGACTGATGTTGAAGCTGAAATTCCAATACTTTGGCCACCTAATGCAAAGAATTGACTCATTGGAAAAGATCCTGATGCTGGGAAAGACTGAAGGCAGGAGGAAAAGGGGATGACAGATGAGATGGTTGGATGGCTTCACTGACTCAATGGACATGAGTTTGAGTAAACTCTGGAAATTAACGATGGAAAGGGAGGCCTGGTGTGCTGCAGTCTATGTGGTCGCAAAGAGTCCGACACGATTGAGCCAGTGAACTGAACTGAAATCATTTGCCAGCCATTGACTGTGCGATTAGCCACTTAAAGATGCTCCTTTCAGCATGGACTGTTTTCTAAGTTTATAAGATGATTAGAAGCAATGCCCAGATCCGAGAGGATCAGGTATAATGAGCAAGGAAAATATGTTCTCCTCCAAAAAACAAATAAGACCCTGGGCCCTAAAACTTGTCAATAAAAACGAGGCTGATGCTGAAAAGAAGGAAACAAGAAAGAATAAAAGGAAGTTATTTTTGTTGTTGCTTCTGTTTGGTTTTCTGAATGCAACTGCACTGTATGGTCTCCTAATTCTACGGTTAGTTTGTGGCAAATATTCAATGATCCTGTTTCCATCCTTTTCAAAGTTGGATATGCTTATAAGCCGTATTGGTTCTCTCAAATCTCAATTGTAGGCAGGCCAGTGGTAATTGGCGCGGCTTCCAAAGTTTGGAATAAGCCCAGGAATAACTCCTACATTTAAATGACCCATAATTACTGGAAGATTTAGGGCTTCCCTGGTGATTCAGCTGGTAAAGAATCTGCCTCCAATGTGGGAGGCCTGGGTTTGATCCCTGGGTTGGGAAGACTCCTCTGGATGTAGGAAATGGTTACCCACTCCAGTATTCTGGCCTGTATAATTTCATGGACTATTTAGTACATGGGTCACCAAGAGTCAGACACAACTGTGTGACTTGCACTTTCAGTTAGCTGAATTTATATGATTTAATACTTCAGATTTAATTTAAGATTTAATAGTTGGTCTCCACTATCTTGGGACTTTCCAGATGACGCAGTGGTAAAGAATCCACCTGCCAATACAGGAGACGCAGGATACACAGGTTCAATCACCGGGTCAGGAAGATCCCCTGAGGAGGAAATGGCAGTCCAGTCCAGTATTCTTGCCTGGAAAATTCCATGGGCAGAGGAGCTAGGTGGGGCTATAGTCCATGGGGTCTTAAAGAGTCAGACATGACTGATCACATACACATACACTCCACTATCTCTATTCCTCCTCCATTGATTTTGGATGGCAATTTGCTTAGTTTAAAGAAAAAGACTGTATTGTGTTTATAGTTCTGGAAGTAACCATTTGGCAATATGACCAAGCTTCTACTCATACCATAGTTGAGTTAACTTAAGTACATCCAACCCTAGAAACTGGGAATTTTCTAATTTGAAAATTAACAATAACACAAGGGAAAAGAAAAACCATCCTTCACCCCACCACCCCAAACAACTGTTGCTTGTCTATAATTTTCCAGTATCTGTCTACATGTATACATGTCATATCGATTGTATTCACATACTACTTTGTATTTGTACTTTTTTCTCTCTTAAGATTACATTTCAAGCATTTAAAAACTTCAATTTTGGAAAAACGATAACTCTGATATCATTCCGCAGTTGCTGGAAGAGGCATTTACTGCCTCAGGAATCCCAACAAATCATTCCAGTCTCCTGTCAGTCTCCAATGACACCATTTAGGAAGAAGTGGAGGTAAGAAATAAAAAATAATGTAACCCTGTGAGGGAAGAAGACGCAGAGTTGCTGAATGCTGTTGTCTGACAAGACATCTCTAGAGAGACTAGGATGAAAACCGCACAAATTACTGAAAGCAATTTAAGGAACTGGAGACCCCTCAAGTGTGGAAAAGGAAGGTGTAAAGGATTGTGGTCTGGAGGAATCTGTTCTTTTTCGCAAGAACATGTGGTAAAGATGGCCAGCTAAGTGAGTTTGTATATTTGCAAAAGAATGACTTCTTAATCTGAGAAAGAAGGGTCATGCCAGTCACACTGCAGGGGGTGGGACAGGGGTGAGTGCAGAGTTTGCCTTGCACAGTTGCAGGCTTTTGTGGCAGGGTCCTTCCATCCCTGCCTTAATCAGACATTGCCCTTGCCTTGACCTTGCAAAAAGGGTCTTGACATTGTCTGCAGCTGTCTGAGCCATGCAGCTCCTGAAATACTGTGTCTCTGTGAAAAGGCGCTGCTACCTGGCAGAGTGACATAGCGAGCACACATGTATTCTCTATACGCAAGCAGTCTCCTATCAGTGCAAGGGGTACAAAGAAGACACACTCTCCACCTGTTTCTACTCTTCTGCCACACTTAGGTTTTTGTTTTTGTTTTTTTCTTAGGATGTGGCTCTTGAAAAGAGTGAGATCCAGGTTTATCATACAGTTGGTTGATGGAGAGAAAGCACTCAGAATTTAACTCATCTTTTGCCTTGGTGACTTAGATCTCAGTATGTGTGTGTGTGTGCTAACTTGCTTCGGTCATGTCCGACTTTATGACTCTGTGGACTGTAGCCCACCAGGCTCCTCTGTCCATGGGATTCTCCAGGCAGGAATACTGGAGAAGGTTGCCATGCCACCCTCCAGGGAATCTTCCAGACCCAGGGATCAAACCCACGTTTCTTATGTCTCCTGCGCGAGCAGGCAAGTTCTTTACCACTAGTGCTGCCTGGGAAGCCCAAACCTCAGTATACTTAAACTCAAGTTTTGTTCTTCTAATTAATGGGTTGGAGTGAGAGAGGAGAAATGAAAAGAGTGAGCCCCACCCTCTTCTCGATATCTTGTGTGTCCCTGGCACATCTGATTTGTTTATAGAAGGGTGTCGTCATGCTGGTAAGAATCATCAGTGGCTTGAATCCTCAGAAAGGACCCGTGGGTGATTTTCTCATAATTTCAGCTCCTGGGTTGTGCCACATTCTCTTTGTGTGCCCTTGACATTTCTGGTTCTGTTTCCTTTTTTAAAATAAGAGGGATGGACTTTATAGATGTCATCAAGGTTCCTTCTACTTCTAACACTTTACAATTCTATGACTTATTTATGGTTGGCCCTGCACAGTGTAGATGATGACACAGGTAGAAGCTAATAAGAGGAGGGGGAAACGTAAAATTTATCAAGGGCTTCCAGTGTGCTGAGCATGGGGTTGAGCACTGCATCTATGTGATATTCTTTCATCCCCAGCTATAGGGTAAAGAAGTCCTACTCCCAATATAAGATGAAGAAATAGGTCAGAGATAAATAAGTGACTTTCAAACCAGCATGCTACAGAATCAGAGGAGCACAACTTTCTTTGACTCCCAAGTCCAGCCCCTTTCTAATTCTGCTTCATCACTACCTTCCTAGCCACAGTTATGCACAGGGCCTGGGCTGTCTCCCCTCTGGCCTGACCCTCTGATCTGAGGGTGTCGCAAGAGGTCATGGAGAGGACTCGATCACCAATTAACCAGTGAGCTGGACCCTGGCTATAGGAGGCTCCACACTTCTCCCTGTCCTTGGAAAGTCGAAGTACTCTCTGTTCATCATTCCCACAGTGGGAGACCATTGCAAGGACGCAGCCATAAGACAGTAAGGTGCTATTAAGACCATCTTGACTGACTACTCGACCGAACCCAGTTAAGGCCCCTTCATGACCTTTAAAAAATATATATTGGAGTATAACTGCTTCATCATGTTGTGTTATTTCCTGTTGTACAACAAAGTGAATCAGCTACATGTATACATATATCCCTTCTGTTTTGGATTTTCTTCCCATCTAGGTCACCGCTTGAGTACAGTTCCCTGTGCTATACAGTAGGTTCTCATTAGTTATCTATTTTATGTATAGAATCAATAGTGTATATATATCTATCCCAGACTCCCTATCGATCCCAGACCCCCAATCCCTCCCACATCGCCCTTTCCTCTTAGTATCCATACGTTCGTTTTTTATGTCTGTATCTGTTTCTAGTTTGTAAATAAGATCATCTGTACCAATTTTTTCAGAGTCCACATACAAACATTAGTATATGATACTGGTTTTTCTCTTTCTGACTTACTTCACTCTTGGAACTTTTAAGATTTTGCTGGGTGGGTGCAGAGATCTACTTGTCCTGTGGCCTCCCTGAGATAAACCGTCTAGCAAGTCCTCTCTCTTGTTAAAGCTCCACCTACCAGTCTGCAGTTCTCGCGAGAAGGAGCTCCCAAACATGGCTGCCGCCAGTG